AAGGATGAGTAAAGGAAACCCTGCTGGAAGAGATTCACTAGAGAAAATCTCTCAACCCAAAAGGCCCACTCAGGGTATCCTCGTGGAGAATGAGGTCCTCAGGCTGGCACGCTGCACCATGTTCTCTGCTCAGAGGGGAGAAGAATCCACATTTTTAGGCTTGTTGGTAAAGTGGGCTCAGTCCAAAACAGAGAGACAGCTCAGCAGTGAGCTGGATCTACAACTACTTAATTTAAAATGAGGTTTGGCTCCCATTCCCCAGACTGAATTAAGGACTTTCCATCCTTTCCACTTTGACTGACCCCCTTACTACCTACCTCACCTAAAAGAGCATGACTCCCGTTTTGTGGGGGAGGATTTCATCCTCCATTTGTCAAGGGCTTCTCCAGTCTGTATTTCTGCATCTCTGCATTTAAAGGACAGAAAGCCCTCTCCCTCTGAAGCCATGTTGGACACATGATGGGAAAACCTCTAAAATGTCCTAACAAAACAAGCTTAAACAGAGCCAAAAAGATTTCACTACGAGCTTCATCTGTAGGTTAATTCCATTGCATAACTTAAGTGATCAACAATCAGCTGTAGAACAAACAATGTGTTCAACAAGAGAGGGGAACTTTTCGAGTCATATAACACAATTATCTGCTGTTTCCACTCAAAACTTTCAGTGCCACGGCACCGCAGAAACGCAGGAGAAGACAGAGATGCCATTACTGCCTCAACTGAGCAGTCTTTCTGTCCAGAGTGACTGATGCCACTGCCCCTTTTACTTTTCTGTCCATTTGCTGAGGGCCTGACATGTGTTAAAGCTCCACTAAGTACCTTTTCAAATTGCAATAGGCTGTGCTTTTATTCACTCAAATTGTCTCGATTTTCTTTTCTTTACCCTTTTTTTTTTCCCCCAGATGGAAACTATCTGGAAAGAAATCCTTCAGCAACAGAGAAACCAGCAATGGTGGGATGAGTTCAGGGCTGCTCGGGAAGAGCAGGCCCAGGGAACATACATTATTTATCCCTGCATTACTCCACTTTTTTCCAAACGTGTTTTTATAAAACATGACAGGTTATCACTTCTTGCCTTTGGCTACAGATGGGTAGGACTGCAAACAATCAAATGCAAATCAGGAACAGTCTACAGCAGACACACCATTGTATTGTCATGGCATCACTCCTACTCACTCCATTAGTCAAAGCACTCCCTTTGGTTTGGTTATTTGGATGGAGGAGCTGGGTGGAGATGGAGTGTGTGGGTGGATGGCACCTTTCCAGCAGAGTAAACGCTCTCCTCCTCGGGGGACGTCCCTTACGACAAGGAATTCCTCGTGACATCATGGGCTGCCTGACGCGGGATGATGTGCTCGGGCTGGAACTGCTCCCGCTGCGTTCTATAACACAGCCAAAATAGCATGAGCAAATCCTACAAGGGTAATCAATTCAGGGGCGGGGCTGGACTTAACACCGGGATTTTTCCTTCCCTTCTCCATAGGAAAACGCAGCTTCTAACCCCAAAAAAAGCTGGATGCACATATTGGCTGTGATTAGCAGAGCTTTGGGTTTGTTGGTTTTATGCACAAAATGCCAAGTCTAAAGTTTTCCTTTTCAAGATCAGTTAAAAGAAATCTCCTTCACACAACCTCATAAAATAACCTAATAGTCTCTAAGAAAGGATTAAGTAGTTTTAAAACTCTAAGTCAACCATGCTTGAGATTTAGATCTGTCTCCAGTATCTAGGAAAGGGTTGACATTTTCCTAGTTACTGGGAGAAAAAAAAGGAATGGCAAATTTGGGCTAGATGAATTAAGGAACTGTTTGTCCTGTTTAATTCATGAAAAACCCAAGAGATGTTTACTCAAGTGTTTCACATGTGAAAAATGCTCCCACAGTGCACAGACTGGGCTGGTATGGTCATGGACAGAGGATGAGGAGACTCCCATCTAAACGCGACACATTCTATAAATCACACAGTGGGTGGCACCTTTGGGATGAGAAGCATCTTTTTTGCTCACTTTTTGGCACTTTTTGGCCAACAGAGCACAGCCATCCCTGGGCAGGACTACAGAACATGGCAGGACAAGGCAGACCAGGTTGTGGACATGCAATCTTCTCTAACTCCTGGGCAGAGCTGTAGGGCAGGAGCTTTCAACTCCAGTTGTCTGTGCTTAGAACAACTGACCAGGGTGATTCCTACACATTTGTGCTTTTTTCAGTTAAAACAATTGGGAAAGGACAGGTGAGTATGGCTACACACATCCTGGGCTATAAAACCCACATTCTGGCAGGGTATTATGAGAATGATGTGATCAGATCTGATGAGCTGCAGCACACAGGACCTGATATTATGAAAACAACCAGCTTGCCTCAAAAAGTTAAATTTTTGTCTTCTAGCAAGGACGCAATTAAGGAAGAGCACACAGGTTCAGTGAGATGTCATAACCTGGTATCAGCAAAATGAAATTCCCATGTAAATCTGAGCTATTATTCCAAGGGAAATATTGTATAGTAACGATAATTCAGTGAGAAGGTTTTCTGTAATTGAGAGAATTAGGGGAGCATGTTATGTGGCCACATCTCTGTCCTGGATCTGCTCACAAGGAGCTTGGTGTGATGGAAGAAGGGATTTGGCTACCGGTGAAAAGAATTCCTCCTCCTGCACTATGGAACAGCCTGTAAGCCCCAGCACAAACTCACAGGGAGACAGTTTCCAATAATAGGCAAAATTACAACACACAATTGTCTGTTACACAACAGCCCAAACCCTCATCTGTAATGAACCAACAGGTTCCCCAGAGGGTGAATCTCTGCCATGGTCCCTGTGATAGCTCAGGATCCCTCCCTAAGGCACGAGTGGGGCAGGTCTGACCCCCGCTGTCCTCCCACATCCCAGGCTGTGTCCTACTTCTCCTTGACATCACGCTTCACAGTCACACCCTCACAGGCCCCCGCACACCTTTCCCATTACTTTAGATGTTTTTCACTGAGGAACACATGTGCATTCTTACAGACATGTGTCAGAGCTCCAGGGGCCTGGAGGAGCTGCGGCCCCCGAGGAGCGCAGCAGGAAAACGGCCAGCCCGCCTGGAAAGGAACTCGCCCTGAGCAGTGCTCATCCTTACACCAGCTGCAAACTACAGGGATATCTTCCTATCTGGAAAGCACATATTTGGAGAGGCACACCTACTGCCAAGGCTTTCCCGAGTGGCTCCCAGGTGTACCAAGGTTAGCAGGGGTAGTAGAGGGAAAGTGAAAACAAACTCTGGCATGGGAGAGAGGCAACTCACAAAATTCCCCTCTTAATCTCCGATATTTAAGGGATCGCTTTAAACCCTGCAGCATGAGACTTCTGATTCATGACAGCATATGTTCTTTATTTGGCTTATCCCTATTATTCCTATCAGTGCGTGGTGTGGTATTTTCTCCAAGAGGAGCTGATGAAAGCGGCACAGGTGACTGGCAGTTTGGGGCGATCCCTTCTCCTTCCATCTCATTTCTCCCTGTCATTTAGTCAGCTTTTTCCAGCCTGCTGTATCATGCTCTGCTCTCCAAGGCAGGCCACAGCTCAGACTCACCTACACACTGTGTCACTGGCATCTTAACTCACCCTTCTGGCTCCAGGGGAGCTACAGGAGTATCAGCATGTACTGACTATCCCTCATTAAAATTCAGCAGCACTGGAGCGGAGGAATTGTGCAACCCCTATTGTTCCTGCTGTGTGGTTGCAGGCATTCATATAATCTTATTATGACTTTTGGGTGGTTCACATGCATATTTACACTTTAATTTTCTGTGCTGTAGGTTCAAAGAAGAGCGTGTGAAACAGTAATATATGGCTCTGGGTACTGGGAAAAGATTAGAAGTCTCCTAGAGAAAATGCAAAGAGATCTGACATCACCACGCTGTGGAATTAACACTGGAGCAAGAAAAACTCTGTGAACTGTTCCGGGAAAATCTGTATTTTTGTTTTGGAAAAAAGTGTTGCCTCCGAGAAGCTTCAGGTTCAATAAAGTTTCTAGCATTTTAAGCACAGTGTTTATCAAAGTGATGCCCTGGAGCCCTTTCCACAGAGCACATACCCACTGTGTTTGCCACCGGACAAATCCCAAATGGAACTGCAGTGCCCTCCTCGGGGATCTTACAGTCCCATTGTTTGTCTGCTGACAGACACTGCATTTCATCAGGGACCTACACTGTCCACATCACTCCTCAAATATCAGTAACTATCAGAACTAACTAAATTCAAAGGAAATACTATTTTCCCATGAGGAACTTTGCACTAAGGGACCCTTAGTCCCTTAGTGAAAGAGGCGAAAGGAAAACACTTCCCTGTTTGTTGTGAAATCCTTCTCCAAAAGGATTTACACTGACAACCCAGGGATACCTCAAAATATCTGAAACTTTGCATAGTGCTTACAAAATACATAATGCTTACAATACAGATGAGCAAGCACTGGGAGGTTACAAGGAAGTGTGCCTGCCGGTTATTCCCAGAAAAATGCTTTCATTGCAGGAATATAGCTGAGGGAGAGATAAAGGAAAAGGAAAGACATGAAGGGACCTTGACCTGACAGGGAAAGAGGTCCCTCCATACAAACTGTGCTGAGTTAAGACACTAGCAACATCAGCACAAGCAGCTGGCAAAGATATCAGCCACTCCAACAAAGGAGAGTGTCTGGATTGGGATCCTCAGCATCACTGGTCACCTTCCCCCTTCAGAAAGTCTGGCACCCCCAGGGTTTCATAACATGGACTGACTGACTTGTGCCTTCCTCCAGTTTTCCCTGATGAGTCCCACATGAAATGTGTATTAGCTCAGGAGGAAGATGCTCTGAGCTCTTTCCACTCCATTCTTTATACAACACACCTACGCTATTTACATTTGCTTTTATTTACACAACTGTATTTACATTTCCATTTCATGTATATAACGCACTTCGGGATTTAATGGCAGAGACAGAACAAGAGCCCAAAAATCCCAACCTATTTCTCAACTCCAAGACTTTACTCACCCCAGCCCTTGGCTTCTCTACAAGGACCACCAACAGAGGCAACAGCTGAAGACAACTGCAGCAGTTTTCCTTGGAATACGAACACGAGCATTTCAGCCGACACCGGAGGGATTCTGGATGGTGGGTTATGCACCTGCAAGGAAGAACCAGCAGTTTAGAAGGTTTTTTCCCCCTTCATTCCCCCACCTATAGAAGAAAAGCACATCACACTGGGTGGTGCACACCCCACATGGCTTCTTTCCTCTCCCCCGCTCTGCTTCCTCCTGTTGGTGGTACGGGAGAAGCAAAGAGCAGCAGGAGCAGCCGTGGAGTTCCTCCTTTTTGTGGTTTAATGCTGGAGTGTGTCATCTCTGTTTGGTTTAGTCCCAGTCCCAGCTTAATGAGGCTGTTGCAGTGGAAGTTGGATAGACAGTCTGAAACAGGGGTGGCTGGCACCCATGACTTGAACAGAAAACCTTGTGTTTACTGGTCCAGGATCAAGCAAACCTTGCTGGCCTGAAGCTTTCCTCTGTATATGAACATACTTCACTACAGAAAGTCCTGAACCATAGTAAGTGAAACATTACCAATGGGAAATCCATAAAAGTTGGAACCCGCAGAGTGGAATGTTTTGATTTGTTTTTGCCTCCCCTCTCCCAGGAGTCAATCGAAGAGTAAACAATATTTTACCTTTCCTCCAATTAATTATTTCTAAGCTTTTCCCCATCAGACGTCCCTCTTGGTGCAGAATAACAGACCTCCCCTCAGGAAAAAAAAAAAAAAAAAGAATCTTTAAATTCCAGAGGAAACATCTTAGCACCCTTTGCCTGGCCCAAAATAAATAGTCCATAACCCAGTAAAATCTTTATTAAGAATAATGGCCAAGGAAATGGCTAGAAAAGTAATTTCTGAAATCCAAACAGCAGAACAACACAGGAAAATGTCTGGGTTTTGCATCTGTATTTTACCAACACCCACTTTGCAGTCCACTGTCTGCTTTCTCAACATATGAATTTTGGGATTTAGTTCATCACACTGATTAAACCTTTCAGATTTTAGTGGGTATTTTCAGGAATAAATGTCTGGAGGTTGTTTATAGACAGAGAAGTATGACAAGGATGCTCTAAGTTAAGTATAGAAACTCCAAATAAAATCACTGTTGAGGGAAATGTTCTCACCAGTTCTAGTGCCTTTAAAGTTTTTGAGACTTCTTTACGTAAGTTAAACCTGTGCAAATTACCAGTGTTCAAACTGCACAAAGAAATTCTCTCCTATCTTTTTGTCTAGAGCAAATTACCCATAACAGCATTGGCTGGATAAGGTAATCCTTTTGTACCAGGACTTGGGAATCTAAGGTTGAGACAGAGAACCAGGTAATTCCAATGTGTTTAAATCTGGAAGGATTTCAGCACAGTTAGAAGATATTGGATATATTTTGCTTCAGAATTTGTGATTTCCCAGTACAGCTTTCCCAAATAAAAACATACCTTTTATTTGATATTCCATGTGGGTTTTTTATCACACAGTTAAAACCCAAGAATTCAGAAGACAATTTTAAAAAAAAAAAAAAAAATCCAATCTCAAAAGTGATTTTTTCTGGAATGTTTAGAGTTCATGAAGATTTGTTTTCTCTAAGACAAATGCCAATCATTTTCTTTCCCTTTCTGTAAAATCTAGATCGGAGGAGAGAAGTGCTCCTAACAGGACGTGTACTGCAGCACACTGGACACACAGAACTCCTGACTGGAAGCTGAAGTTCCTCTTATTCAAGCAGGAAATACTTCTTTATTTTTTTTTTTTTAACAACAAATGAGAGTAACTTCTCCTGGGTGTTGTAATTCTATCATCACTTGGAATCTGAAATCAAGATTGGAAGCCTTTCTGAAGGATGCGCTCGTGGCTCAGCCCCAGATTAACGTCTCTGATAGTTCTCGTGCTTGGTAGGAAATAATCTAAATATAGCAAGGTCAAATTCCTTGGCTTGTTTTACACCACGGGTCCAAGTGGACAACCACAGTGGTCCCTGGGGAATCTTGAATTCACTGCCATCATCAACAACAGTAATAATTACCGTGTGCCTGTATGCTTTGATTTAAACCCTGATGGCCAGCAGTGAAGAAGAGCAGGAATTATCAACACAGCCACGAGCTGTCTGAATCCTAACTCGCTTCTCAAGTGGGATTTCAGGAATTCTGCTGGCTCTGATCCTTTTCTGTGGTGCAACAGCAATCAACTCCAGTGTCAGTATTGCGGATTTAAAGAGTTTCTCTTTAAACACATGTCAGGGATCTACCATCTCTTTTACACGCACCTTTTTTCAGCTAAATCTGGCAGGTTGGGTACAGATACTCAGAAGTCTTTGGAAGAATGGAGGTCATCATAACAAGGTCACATGAATAGGGATACTGGAGACAAAGGTGAAGCTTCCACAGATGGACATTTCTAACAACATCCTGGCCAGTTTTCCACTGTGCACTAAAGCACAGGGCAGAGGTCTGCAATGTAAGGGGTACAAGCAGTGATCGGTTCTGAGATTTAACAACACAACAGTCCTGAAACTCGGCTTCTTAACCTCACCGGGAAACAGAGCCACAAACTCCTGCTGCACAAATCCAGCTCACAACAATTCCAGGTGGATGAATCACCTCCACTCACATTAGCCCCTGAAGGAGCTTGTCTAGTATTAGGATGAGTACTTGGCTATGATTTATTGTTATCCTTGTCTAGAGAGGATGAAGATCTTTAAATAGTGGGTACAGCACTGGATAGGTGTTGAATCCTCCCTTTTTCACTGGATTTTTTTCTTCCCACAGTTATGTGGGCAAGGGGGGTCAAGTCACAAGATGCTGCAGAGCCATTGTTTTAGTCTGGCAATATGTAAGTTGGCACTGCCCACCTCTGCTGTGGAAGGCAGTCTAAATAACCGGGATCACTCTAAAACTGCACACAAAATCATGCCTATCATCCAGATTTCTTCAAAAGCTGACTGAGGAGACAGCTGAGGGCCTCGATAGCACCTTTTCTCTCATGCCAACACCTCTTGCACCAGGCAGAAGGCAAGAGTGTTCCCTGTGGATATCAAGGAAGGTGCATATGTGCATTTTGCTTTGAGTATTTCCTGCCCTGGGTTTAAACAAAGACTAAGAACCCAGCCAAGCCATTGCCCCAGAAAATTCCTTGGCCACAGGAACTGCTGTGCTTAGCAGGAGATGCTCCCAGGGAGCTGCAGGTGCAGAAAAGCCTCCCTGCTTTCTGCTTCTGGCAGAAGGAGGGATGGACACATCGTGGTGACAAGTTTATCCCTGCAGGATAACCCACCTCCATCCCTGGCAGTTTGCTCCAGATTTTTGGGGGAGTCCTTTAAAATTTGAGTTTGGGGTTTTTTCCCCCTCCAATAAGAAGTTTTCCTTTTTCTAGTAAATGTCAGACTGGGATTGTGAAAATCATACCTGAGAGACTGAAAGTCCTTGGAGCTTGGAATTTTGGAAGTTTTGGTTCTCTTCAGAGTGTCTGTTTTTGTGAAATTGTACACAGGCCCAGAAAATAACAAATTGAGTGGCAGGGCGAAAAAAACCCCAATAAAGGCTTTCAAACTCCTCCAGTTCTGGTTGCTGGGATTTGTGACAGACAAGGGCTTTTCCGAGCAAGCACACGTTTCCAAGATGGATCCCACAGCTCCGTCCCACCTGTGTCCCCTCAGATCCTTGCCAGCCCTTGGCTTTCCTCCCCAGCCCTGGTGGCCAGCTCTTCCCTGTCCATGTTCCTCCCTTCAGGAAAGGACTTTTATTTATTTATTAAGTGAAACTCATCCTTTAAATTCTAGTTTTGTCACATTAAAAAACGTTGCACACACACACAGAGGGTTTCTTGCTCACAAGAAATACAAGCCCTATATTCCTAATTCCTTTTCAAAGCCTATCAAGTGAGATGTCTCTCCTATGATCACGAAAGCTTTTGAACTTCTTAATCTCAGGACTAAACGCACAAAGGGTTCCAGAAGGGTAAATCCTCTTGGCTCTGGAGAAACAACTCAGGGCTACACATATTTTTGGCAACACAGAAATCACTCTACCGGCAGCTGCAGCTCTGGATCGGCCATCTGAGGGGAGGATAAAGGCCTAGGTGTTGTTTAGTCTGGAGGAGAGGAAACTGAGGAATGGATGTGACAAAGAGTCTTCCAATGCACAGGGACTTCTAAGAAGAGAGGGATGATTAATTGTTCTTCATAGTCAGTGGGAGAGGAAAGAGGAGGGATCAGCACAAGCTCCAGCAAAGACAACTTAGGTCAGATATTAGAAAAACATTTCAGCTACGGCGGTGAAATCCTGGAACAAGCAACCTGGGAGTGCGGGATCTCCTCCGCTGAAATTATGCAGACAAAATTTAGGTAAATACCACTTTACAGGCAACCCAGAAATGTGGAATTTCCTTTGCTGGAGTTTTAAAGAAAATGTTAAGACAAACGTCTGGTAGGCATGGTTTAGCTACACTTGATCCTGTTTCATCCAGCTCAACAACCTCCAAGGCTCCCTCCAGCTCCCCGTGATTTATAGGGCAGTGGTAAGTGCTCATAGGATGGGTACACCCACACCTCACTGCATGAGGCACTGAACACACACGCTGTGCAAGAGCCCCAAGGGGCTGAACACCAAAAAAGGAAACGGAAAACAAAACCCAAGACTTGCTCAAGTGAACGAAACAAATCAGAACCAGCACCATCTCCGGAATCTCAGAACTCCCAGCCCAGTCACAAAGCCATTGGGTCACTCATCAGGAAATGGGAATAACGAGGGATGGCCTTCAGTCCTCATCCAAACCTCTATCAGTGCCCTGTTATCTTCCTCCTCTCATTTTCCCTTTGCTTAATGAAAGGAAGAACAGCTACTTGATGGCCACAGTGCAATTAGTTGCATCCTGCTCAGCGCGGCTGAAGTTGTATATTTGCATTTTAATATTTTTCCTATTACAGACCTCCCCGTGCTCCCATAAAAAACACAGCCTCTAATCCCCTATTAACTGTATTTAGCAAACCTCAAGTGTTTCCTCCATTTGCAATCTGGCTGGGCTTCAGCCCCCAAGCAAATTTCAGGTGGCTGTGGTCTAAACATTAACTCTGGTCTGGAGCGATTTGAATTACAAACCAAACAGACTGTA